ACCGTAGGGAGACTGTGTAAGACGACAACATACCTCGGGGGGCTTTGTAATCACGCAAATATGAGTGGGGATTTTGTTATTAGACCTTACCTCAGGGGTTTTTTCGTAATTATACTAATAATTATTAAATTCATTCCCGTCACCGTGCATATCGGCATTGCTGGCCATTATTGAAAGCACAAAATGCGAAGAGCTCTCTCTTGAAAAATCGATGTAAGATGCTATGTAGCCACTGGTGGTTCTTGTCTGATTCGCCACATTTTTATGGTTGTAAGTGGTGGTGCCGTGATGGATCTTGGTGTAACCTTCTTTTTCGTATGTGTCGTGCATGAAATAGATTACAAAAACATATGTTATTTTGTCTTTTATGCCGTTTTATTTAAAAATAAATTGTTTGGGATATTATGAATGTACGTTAAAGACTTGAGACTATACGAATTCTCAGCTCAATAAAGTTGCTATTAATCAAATATTAATAACTACATTAGAAATTAGTTGAACAATCTCTTGAAATCAAATAGTATTTCCTTATCAATAATTGAGTATTCCTGAATTATGGAAAATTTATTCAATGAAAGATTACAGTTTATTTTTATAAATAAATTAAACTAACTATCTATTTATTTAAATTACTTGTACTTCTAATCTTACATATTATAGAATTACTGATTGGCATAGATAAAATTATGAATTTCATAAACTATTTTTTTATTAGTAAACATAGATTCTCAAAATTAAATGGAGAGTGATAAAATTCTTTAACTGAAGAAAATTGATACTAACTAATTAAATGAAGAGTTTTTTTAATTATATTTTAGATAATTATATATGTTAAGATAATTAAAACTAATTTTAAAATGTCATGTTGGTATTATTTTTTTAGTTAATTCTGTACGTTGATCTAGATTTTTTGTTACATAAATTGACCTTCTTAGTTTAAACTTGTCCATACTTATATTTAGCAGTAGTTAATAATATAATTATTTAATGTTACAAGTTAATATTAATTTGTAATAATTAAAAATCAGTTTATTAATCAATTGTCAAAGTTTGAATTCGTCAAAGGGTATTTTTGTCTCTTAAAAAAATGGAAGGAACCACCATAGGATTCCTCCTTTTATAAGTAGTATAGCTATAGATATAGAAAATGAAGAAGAGAAAATTCAAGAGTATCTAATTTCTTGAGATACCTTAATCTGTATCTTTGTTTAATGAGTTAAACAATAATTAATCTAGTCCCACTCAATGGCGAGTCCAGAAATTCGGTACGGGGTGGGCTTAATTTTTTAGGAGATCGCAGCACCCTCGAAAAAAATTTTGAATATGCTTTTGCATAAAATATGACAAAATCAGAAAATGCGTAAAGAAAAAATAGGAAAAGAAAAGGTTTTTAGGACTTTTTTGCATTTATTTAGATTTTGAGTGGGCTAATAGAAATGTGGTGAGCTAAATACAACTATAAGTATACTTTAACTGAACTGTTAACTCCCGCACAAAAACTACCGAATCACGCACATAACGAACAAACTTTCTCTTTCTAAAATCCTCTAACACAATAAAAAAATAAAGAGAATAAATTAAAAACGGACTCTCCGTTTAAGTGAGATAAACGGATGCCTTTAATTGACAAACACGTGGACAAAAGTTGCACTATTAGTGCTAAATTATAATATTAATCTTTTATTTATTTATTTATTTATTTTATTTTTTATTTTATTTTTTACTTTTATTGATTACATAATTTTTATTACGGGTTTTGTATTTCGGGTTTTCGGGTTTCTCAGGTTTTTGAGTTTTGGGTTTTCGGGTTTTCGGTTTCGGGTTTTCGGGTTTCGGGTTTTCGAGTTTTGGGTTTTGGGTTTTCAAGTTTTGGTTGGGTTTAGGATTTCTCAGGTTTTTGAGTTTCGGGTTTTCGGGTTTTCGATTTTGGGTTTTAGAGTTTTCGGGTTTCGGGTTTTGGATTTCGGGTTTTCGGGTTTCGGGTTTTGGGTTTTTGGGTTTCGGGTTTTCGGGTTCAAGTTTGGGTTCGGGTTTTGGGTTTCGGGTTTTGGGTTATTTACAAACAAATTCTTAATTATAATATTTCAAATAAATTCATATTTCGACACACAATTATTAATTAGAGTAATTAGGTATATTATAATACGCTATTGTGGTTGCAGTGTGATAATGTGTGGTGGGTCTTAAATTCTTGTGAAATAGGTAACACGTGGCATTCAATCATTGGAGTCTGTTTTTCCTTTATTAATAGGGCATCCGTTGCAAATGCTCTCCCAAAAATAAAACCTACCCTTCTTCCGTATTCTACCACAAAATCACACACGAAATATTACAAGTTGAAATTCGAGGAAAATCTTTACAAATTTCAGCTGCATTTAAGATAATGTTCTATCTTTAGCTACTAATTTCATGGCCGGAAAAAAATTCCACGGATTACCACTATTTTTATGGTTTTTCCTGGGGATGGCAATCGGGCCATGTGAGCCGAGCCTGGATCGCCTCAAGCTCATATACCACCGGGTTTCGTTATTATAAGCTCAAGCTCAAATACTATCAGGCCTCATATCTATAGGCTCAAACTCGGCTCACGTATTTTTTCGTGCTTCGGGTTTATATCGGGCTTATATAGAACAATAAATAAATTACATATTTTACAACTTTGTGACATAATTTTCTCTTATATTTAATATAAAAAAAGTCATTTTGTTTATTTAAATTGAAATATTATTAAAAAATTATCAGCGGTAATTTTGTCATTTCATTTAAGTCGAAAACCAATTTTAACGTAAGGAGCTCTTTGCTTTGTAAAACGTAACATATGTGGGTTACTGCTATTTTTTTTAACATACGGTTTTTTTTCGACAATTATAGATTATACAGAGGGTTTGTGCTAATAATTAGGACTAAATACTAGTTTACCAGGCAAATAGTCATGGAACGAATCAATAGTTAATAGTCGAATAATAGTGATTTTTCTTTAGATTGTTAACACTTCGGGGGATTCATTTTCCAAAGGAAGTTAAAATGTAAAGTCGGAGATTTACACAATCCCAAGATTGCGTATTCTGCTAAGATACAATATAATGTATGCTCCTGCATTAGATGATAGCTCTGTAGATTTATTCTAAGAATGGGTTAGAGATGTTGAGCTGAGAGTCTTTGAGTCTAAGTGGGAGATTGTTGAGATAGTAGACTAAAAGTCTCGCTTTAACTACATAATTTTATTATTGGTTTAATAAAATAGGATATCATCATTTTATAAGAATCTACATTAGGACATTCAATGCTTTTAATTAAATGTTTGATTAATTGCATAATTCTAATATTCTTGCACCATTGTATTTGAAATGATGTGCCACAACACACATAAAATCATTTCGAAAGTTCGTTTAGAATATAAAGATAAACGTTCACAATCTACATGGAAATGGACTAACCATTGGTAAATGATTGTAACACGACATTTAAATGATTGGCCCTAATCACATTAAACAAACAATAACTTTTGTAGTTATTGTTTTAATTTATTGTGCTAGCACATTTGGCGTGTATTGAACCGAACAAAGTGAAATAATTGTTTAAATATGAAACTACATTATTTCTAGTTTACAACAAATTACCTATGCTCTTAATCCTTAGATGATTAACGTACACATTTAATTGGTGATCTCTATGTTGATGTCATAATGAGAGAGATTCCTATATTGAGTCAAATGAAGCGCACTGCGTTGGGTAAAGACACTATAAATTAATAGGTGGAACTTAATGATCGAAAGGAATTCGCGTCACTGAAGCATGAGATCGATACAACCCTTGAGTAGCTCATGAGTTCTGTTTATACCTAAAACTTGGTCAAGTCAATTCCGTATCCACCATACTCAAATAAGTTAAGTGGATAAGACTCAATAAAATATGCCACTTAGTTTATTGGAGAGTGAATAAATCACTTGGTGGTTGTTGGAATATATTAATTCGAGGAGAATCTAAGTAATGATAAACGGGAGCTCAAATATAATTTGTAAAGAATATAAACGGGATTCACTGAAATGGAGGGGATTTATACCAATGAGATCTTCTCTCATGTGGTTAAACAAACCTCAATCAGACTAACACTCTCTCTCTCTAGCTATTGAAGGAAATTTGGAAATAGAACAAATTGGATGTGAGTACAACTTTTCGTCATGGAGCTGACTGAGCTGGCCAACAAGCTACGAGGACCCTAATAATTAAATCACGTCATATTCGCATACACGCACGTCTTTAATACATTATTGAAGTTGGAACCATGTGTCCATGTCTATGTACATAAATAAGTAGTGCAAGTCATCTCATGTTAAGGAATTGACAAAGTGTTCCAAAGGTTCTACCGCAGTGTTCAAACAAACATATCAAACTCAAATAAGAGCAACGTAGTAACCGGTAAGAACCTCATTAAGAAAGAACGATGAAGTTGTGAGAGAAAACGGCAAGTATCACCGCCATAAGTCCGCTAGTCATGGAACTCAATCGGACAACACCATTTGGCGGCGGTGGCGGTGGTTGTTGTTGTTGTTGTTGTTGTGGTGCACGTTGACGAATTTGCGGTATAATTTTGGATGAGGTGGAATCACAATTAGATTCTTGCCAGCCCAGAACCATCTCCTCGCGATCAAAGACTAGGCGGTACCCCGTCATAAAATTTTCTGTAAATATATCAAGGTATTATTAATATATAAAATTCATGGGGTTAAAAATAAACATCAAAAGCAAGCAAATACTCACGTCCGATGACGTTAATGCCCTCGCTTTTGAAAAGAGCCAAACAATATACAGATCCAACTTTCTGCATATGAATAGAAAAGTTTAGCACCTTTTTTTCGATGGAATTTTCTCATAAATTTATCCACTACGAATTACTCACCTCCTCAAACCGAACCGTTGGTACAGTGACAGTAAACTGGCTTCCACCTTTCATTGTGAAGGTCAAGTTTGGGGTTGTATAGGTTGATTGACTTGCACTGCATGGAAAATATATATAAATCATGAGCCAAAACTGATGATTCACCAAACACACAACAGCTCACAAAACGTGGTGTTAACAAATTAAACGGACCTGAGTATATAGCAATAGTCTAAAATAAATCCGGATGGATAGTAATAACGTTTCTCGGTTATGCGAGAATTGAACTATAAAAGAAGAAAGTAGAATTAGAGTTCAAAATTTCACTGGCTTAAATATGGACAATAAAATAACGTTATCTATAACTTACGTTGTTTACGATAAACGAATAAGTTGGATCGGTCAAACGTGTAGTTGCAGTGCCAGAGTCGAAATTTGCAGCGAACCCAAGATTGGTCACATTATTACCCACAACAATTTGTGTCACGTTGATATTATAAGTCGGGCTGCCAAGAAGCTGGAAAGATAAAATAAAGATGCAAATAATATAAAGAGAGAAGAAATAGCGAGTGACCAATTATTGCTTACTTCGATTTTTGAAGATTAAAGGGAGTTGTTTTTTGTTGGTCACTCCCTTTATCTCCAAACTTAATTTTTCCACTTCCATCAGTGATAAAACACACAGAGAAAGAATTTGCAGTAAGACCTTTGTTAGCTAAAACGCTAGGGACAGATATACCGTCCATACCAAGTCCAAACACACCATTAAGACCACGGTGGGTCAAGTAATAACCGGTTTGATTATTTCCACATCTGAAACATAAAATATATTCGTTAAATTCTTACAACCACATACATGACCACCAATATTAAAAGGAAAAAAAAAAGAAAGTACTCACCCGAATGTAATTGGGACATCGACAACGTCTTGTGGAATAGTATCTGTACCAAAACGCAAAATATCATCTACCAATATACCTGTACTCGTGTTGTTGTCTTTTGATATATGGTAAGAACAAGCATTAAGAGTTGGAGAGCATCCTCTTGTCGGTCCGCACTTAGCACTATTGCATGGAAGTGGCTTGCTAGTTGTCGAATTACTAGGACTGTATATATCTAGTTCGATTTTCTGTTCAACCAAATTTATATAAGAACAACTGGATATACAAATACAAGAAGCATAACTTCATAACTTCCAAATTTTTTTTTTTTCGTTTTTTTTAAGTTCCCTAAATAACAAATCATAAAATATATCAAGTGTAAATAATGGGCAGCCCTTTAGGGTGAAAACCCTTATTGTTTGGGTAATTAATTACAACCACTCGTCAACTATGAATCTTCTTACACGTCCATCTTTATGGTGTCAAGTTCAACATAATCTTCTAGCTTTCGTGTAATGTTGTCTAGTTGGTACTCGTTTTGTGCAAAAAAAAAAAAAAAAAAAAAACCAGTTTTTTATGTACCACAATCTGATATTTACAAGCCAAGAGACACACATCTTATGATCATTTTGTTTCAAAATGTGGAACTCTAATGGGGTAAAACAAACTGGAGAATATTCCACATAATCTAGAAGATTCTACTAAATTTGAGACCGCAAGGGTGGACGTGTAAGAATATTCATAATTAGAGGGTGGTTGTAATAACCTAATCATGAGGGGTTTTTCGTAATTTAATCTTATCTCAAGGGTGGCCGTAATTCACCCAATTTATCAATAAATTGAACTATTGAATACCGACAAATTAAGGGACTTACCTTTCCATCGGTACCGTTGAGGTAGCGTGCACAGTTAGGACAATCACATGGTAACCAGAATAGGTCACTGCTTGTGTCAAGTGCCACAAGAAATTTAAGAGAAGGGGTACCCACACTAACAATTGAATACTGCAAGCTGCAATATATATATGCATAACAAAATAATCAACTAACAAGCAACACACTAATTCGAACAAAGACAGAAATAGGAAATAACTTACAATCCAAGACTCCATAGGTTGTAAGTCCGGTTGTTACCAAAGAAAGTGAGGATGGCTGTGGAGGCGGCAAGGCGGCGGCCCTTGAAGAGATGATCACGGTGGGCCATGGCGGTGTAGTAGTCAACCGTACCCTTCTCCGGCAACCCATCCGTGTTCAAGAATTCTTTAACAGTGTCGGAATATCTGTGGTGGATATCGAATCCGAACGTGCCAAATGCTTCGATGCTCTTCGCATTAAAGCAACACGAAAACGCTATTAGCAACAAGCAACTCCCAACTAATGAATTCCTAAAACAAATCATCATTAATTACTACTTTATAACAAGAGAATTTTAGTGTATCCCCTCTGCTATTTCCAAAGCAGCAAGCACAGAGATGGGTGAGTGGTGATGAGAATGAAAATTGTTGAAGATAATGCAATCACATAAATTATAAGAAAGAGAAATTAGTACAGAGTTGAAACCTGTGTCGACTTGATCAATTCAAATACAACTGGAGAGAGAGAGAGAGAGAGAGAGAGAGAGAGAGAGAGAGAGAGAGAGAGAGAGAGAGAGAGAGACAGCAAATTCCATGCGTACATCCATTGTTTAATCTGTTTGTTGTACAAAGTCTACATATTGCTAATCTAGCAATTATTCTTCCTAAGGGTTAACGAGCTTCGCACTCTCTATCCTTACATTTTTCCACGTCAAACCCAACTGTAATATGGGGAGTGTTAGTCAAACCCAACTGTTATATTAATAATATAGTTATTGTTTATTGTTGGGAATTTAACTATTAAAGTAAAATATAATTGGGATTATTTGCCAAAACCCCTCATTACATAAGTGTAGTTACAATGAACTCAAATTTATTTCTTATTTTTAAGATAAATCCAAAATATCTTTTATTAATAAAAGTTAATTATCACAATTATGCCCTTACCTCTTAGAATTTAATTCCTTTGAGGTCACGTTCTCAATCACACCCACAAATCCCGCTCCACAAATCATTTTTTTTTCTCTAGATTTTATTTTCTCCTTTTTTTTCCTATTCACCGTTGTATCTCTCTTTCCGTTCAACCTTCCTTTCTCTCAATAGCCCCAACCCCAACCTCCACCCGTGGATCCCCATACCCCCTTTGGGGCCTTTTATCCCCCCCATGGGGGTGACCCGAGTCCCACCCTATTGATATGGGTCTGGGCCCTCCCCCCCCCCCCCCCTCCTTTATTTCGTCTTTCTTCACCGTCGCCGAACGATATCTATGCGGTTGTAGAAATAAGGTAAAAAAAAAATTTCCTTTTAATCATCTTTTCAATAGTTTTAGGGTTTGTGGGGAAGGTTCTTATTTGATAAAGATATTGTGAAAAAGGCTATTAATTCTTATAAATAAATTTTTTTTCTTGTTCAAATTGATACAATGACCCTTGTTATTGAAATTTGACAACAACCGTTGGCTGGAGCCGAATTTGGCGATTAATGGATTAGATGAGTGTCGTTTCTTTGGATCGACGATCATGATTTATATTGATATGTACCTGTTTTTTTCATTTTATGTTTAACCATTACAATAATTTTTATATATTATTAATATTTTTATTTAAATTTAAGTTTTCATATTACGAGTGCTTTTTATTGATGATTAGGACCCAACTACAAGAAGAAAAGTGACTCGTGTTGGTGGTGGATTGCGGATTCGTTCATGGACAGAAAATTGGTTAAATATGTATTATTCTTATTTTTATGGTGTTAAATATTTGTAACATGGAAACCAAAAGAATAAGATTGTCCAATCTCATGCATTTACTTGGATTTCAAAGTGGTTTTCATGTTTATATAGTTGTTTGTAAATAGTGGTTTTCATGTTTATATAGATATCTATACATGTTTTCATGTTTATATAGTGTTTATATAGATTGGTTTTCATGTTATATGTTGTTTATACAGAGTGGTTTTCATATTTATATAGTTGTTTGTAAATAGTGGTTTTCACATAGTGGATTATGTTAATGTAAAGTGGATTACGTTATTTTACAGTGATTTTTACAGTAATTTTACAATGGTTTTTGATAAATTTGTAGTAGTTCCGATGAGTATATAGTGGATTTTAATTTTTGTATCCTAGGTGGAAAAAAAATTAAGTGGATTTCACTAATTTAATAGTGGTTTTCAATGAACATGGAGTGAATTACACTAATTTAACAATGTGTTACACTAATTTAATGGTGGGATTACATTAATATTAAGGTGGATTATGCTTATTCTATAGTAATTTTTACTTTATTTTCATAGTGGTTTTCGATAAATTTAATGGTTTTCGATTATTATGTAGTGAATTTTTTTTATATAAAATATGAACGATTTAAAAAACTGAAATAAAATAAAAAATAAAAAATAAAAAAATAACAAAGTTTTGGTTTAAATTTTGAATTAAAAAAAAAACCTATTAAAAAAAAACTGGAAAAACACTCAAATTAAATTTGCTGCGTGAAGATGATAGAGAGAGAGAATATGGAGGTGGGAGAGATAGTGGAGAGAAATAAGGGATTTACATATTTAATTTATGGGGCAATTTGCTATAGGTTCTCCTATAAGAGATTATATGTGTTAAAATCCATCTAATAAACTGTAATTTCCAGCAAATTTTTGTATTTATAATTTGTCAAAAGTACCCCTATCAATATCTCTAGTAATATACGGTAAAATATATCTTCAAAATCAAATCCCCCATTTCTCTCTCTATTATACTGCAAATCCGAAATTCCAATTGCAAAAATCTTGAATTCGATTTCTCCCCTTATTCTTCAAATCGAAAATCTCACCACGAATTTTGAATCCTTCAAGAGGTTTTGGGTGTTTGGTCGTTTGCAGTTTTACCAGGTCGTTTGCATTTTGTCTTCGTTTTCGATTTGCTGTTCAATTTTTGGGTTCT